ATGCCGAGATGTTAGCAGGCTTACCTGGGCCTCTGTGAGGAACTTGTTGTCTAGCTCGAGGAGAGGCAAGACACAGAAAATGCAATGTGGTTCCCAGGTCATTAACCCCCTCAAATACTGTGTAAAGTCTGTGGAGCTGGTGGTTGCCACTAGAAGCACTGGGGGAATGCAACCTTCTGCCATATGGGGAGATAACACTGTCATCCTGCTACTTGACCTGCCTGCAGAGTAAAGTGCACAGAAACCCCATTTCCATCCCAACTCACCTTGCAAGCCCAGAGTCTGAGTCTAAACCTCAAAAGAGCAACATTTAGGACGAAGAAACAGTGCAGATCACCCCTGCTGTTAACTACTCACCACTGTGTAAACCAAGAGAGAACAGACCCTTTGGATTTCCTGTCACAGAGCAACAAAACCAGCATCTGCTTGCGTTTCTACTTCTTATAAAATCCAAGGCACAGAAACTGCTTGGATGCGTATTTCTGTGATTAAAAGTCAACATGTGCACATGAGAACATGTACCTGTGTTGTGCGCTTGCTCCTATTTCCAGCCTGTGCTGTGCAGATTCATGTTCAGCTTTGCTGGCTCCCCAGCTGCGTCCCTGCCCCACCGCCTATCAGGCAGTGGCAGTGTTGCACAGTGGGTGTAGCTGTTTGCCGCTGATTTGTGCGCAAGTGAGCTTGACTCTTGCAGAAGCCACAGTGGTATGTTTAACGCTTCAGGACTGCACTCGCTCTGCAGTTCGACTATCTGCGTGAATCACTGGTGGGTATTTTGGGTATCTTCCTCCCATACGCAGCAAAGGTTGATGCTAGCTGCCCTTGCAGTAATGGAGCAGGAAAGACTAGGGGAACAGGCTATGCCAAGGAACTCCCTGAGTGCTCCCTGAATCTAACATCGTTCTCTTTTTCCAACTTCAGGTCACAGCCTGGGGGCTTCAGTGAACGGAAGGGAACTGCTCTGAAGGAGAGAATCTGGCCTCTGAGCAATTACATAATCATGGCATTCAATACCTTCAGAAACACAGTTCTAGAGGGCTGACTATAAAGTCACACACCTCTCCCAATCCTACAGAAGTCCTTTCAGCTTTCCCTAAGAAGCTAAATTCTGATATCACCTAAAAGAGACTTGAGGTCCAAATTTAAAAAATATGTGGACTGCAGTATTGCTGGAGTTGTGCCTAAGAAAAAGGCATTTGCTTACTCTTAACTGCCGATGCTCTCATGGGCTTGGCCCTTTGGGTGGCAGTGAGTTGGGACACTGGTCTTGAAAGAGGTTTTAAGCATCGCCTCTTCTTTCATTGCTGAGAGGAGGCAGGAGCTGTAAGCAGAAAATTAGCCCTACTCTCCGAGGTTAGACAAAGTGTAAGCAGTGGACAAAGTGGAACAAATTCCTCCAATTCCCTGCAACTTACTGGCATCAAACCACTTAGCTAAAAGCAGGCCTGGGGGAGATTATGGTCATTTTAGGACTAGGTGGCTACAGCCTAGCCAATGTCTGAGTTGCCTTGCTTACTTCCTCCTTGCTTTCATCCAGCTTTTTGACGGCACATCTTTGCCAGAGGAGGGAACTTCTACAAAGTGGCTGTCAGAGATCGGACTTACTGTAACTCTGCTGGGGTAGTGTGGGAACTGCCTTGTACACCAAGGCAGCATTGTTTGTGCGCACCATTGCACAGCTTATTCTTATTTGTGCAAAGTATGAACTCTGAAATTACAGCAACATCACCTCATCAAAGAGGAATTTCTGAGTCCTAATCCTTTCTAGTCTGTAAGCTTGGACATGAAGTCACATTGCAAACCTATTCAGTGTCACACTGATCCTGAGAGTGTGTTGCTAACAAGAAATCTTACCAGTTCTCGTTCTCTCTTGGTGATTCATTAGAAGGCAGAACAACAGTTAACTTGACCAAAGGAAAGCTCAGGATGCACAAGAAATACACATGTGCAGCATATTCACAGCTCATGTGAACACCAGACTCACACCAATACACAACATGGCAGCTTCATGCACAAATAACTAGGCTGGGCTTGGAGAGAGAACTCGTGATCAGGGGGAAGAGAATGAAGGAGTGTGTTAGAAAGAG